GCTTGGGGCCTTTTCTACTATGGGTGTCTGTCACGGCGGAATTCTGTGATTACATCATATTTGGCGCAGATCTGAGGCGGGAAATGGCGCAGTGCGTACAACTGAGCTGCAGTTGTGCAGAAAGAGACCTGCTTGAATCCTGCTTGTACGCACTACATCACAAAAATGATGTAATCACGGAATTCCGCCGTGACATCAACCCATCCGAGCTGCACACTCTGGTTTTCATGTACTCTTGCTTACAGTGCACTGCCGATGCAAGGGTTGCGGCTTACAGGGCACTGCCCATGCAATTGCTTTCACTTTGAAAACCTCAAGACCAGAACGATCTTCAGGCTTCTCACAGTCCACATCCTCAAAGCCGTTCCACTAGTAGTAGCATTGAATGCTTTAGAAGCTGTCTGTGTAAATATTCGCACTAGGAAGCCTAACCTCTGTAAACAAAAACATATCAAATTCACGCTTAGGGTATTGTATTGTATTGTATTTACTTGTATTTAGAAGGATTCTCCAAAAGCAAATGGATGCTCATCACGGAAGTCTTCTACATAAATATAGCAAGAAAAAAGGGGAAATTGGGGAGCGGGGAAGATGAAGCATGGGAAGAAGGGAAACAAGTACCTAAATATCGAGGTATAAAAGCAGGAAAGAAATCGACGAGAGAAGAAATCACCTCTGCAGTTAATCGCTGGACATTTAGATGAAAAAAACCCCAGGAAGGATTAATTTCAAGGGAAAAAATTCTCAAACGGAAAAGTTCGGAATTCCAGTCAGAGAATATCTATGCTGTGAGTAATAAGCCTTTAGAGCAATGTGGAAATTGACAGAGGACTGAACGCAGCGAATGTTTTCTGGAAGTTTGTTCCATTCCACAGATACTCTGAAGAGAGAGGATTTCAGGAAATGGTCGCCAGAACGAGGTAAAACTATAGAGGAGGGGTGACGACAACTAAGAGATACGTTGAATTTGAAACGAATTAGCAAAGACGGAAACTGGTAAAAGACATGAAAATAAAGCATGGGCAGAATCTGACCCCGCCACTTCAGGGATGACCAATCACAAGTACGATTTTAAGAATCTGCTTCGGAGTTTCCCACTCAGGAGGGTGTCTGGTCTTACAAAGCAGATATGAACGAGCAGCAACATCTTGCAGTCGGTCTAACGTAAGCGAATCTGAATGGGATACGGCGAATGACCAGACAGGGACTGCGTATTCTAGCAATGGTCGTTCATAACATGTTACATTTATAGAGCAAATTCACGGTTTGGGCAGAAAGGAAATGGGCCATATGGCGCAGCAGAAAAACACGACTGCGAAACGTATGGGTGGTAGTTTTTATATGGTCAGAACAATTTAGTGAAGGAGTGATAGTCACGCCATGACAGTGGCTATCACCTTTCTGAAAAGGCACACCGTTCATTGTCAAGGGGGATGATGGGCCGGGGGGCTAATGCATATTTTTGAAAGGGTAGGTGGACGCACTTAGTGGTGTTAAACGTCATGGCAGTGGCTGATGACCATTGACAACACTTATCAATGTCAGTCTGGAGCAATACATGATGGATAGAAAGTGAGGTGTTTGCTGGAGAAATAAGGATTAAACTAGAGTCATCAGCACGAAGGGATAGGGTGCTAGAAGCAGGGGCACCAGGAAGAGTTGATGCACAGGTTAAAAAGAAGCGGGCCGAGATGGGAACCTTGGGGTACGCCAGCGGTGATGGGCGAAGGGTCAGAAAGAGTTTGGCCAATGCGAACGCAAATACTACGATCACTGATGAAGTCCTTCGCCCAAGAACAGGCAGAAAGAGAACACCAACCAGAAACAGATTGTATAACTAAATGATGACTAACTCTGTCAAAGGCCTTAAAAAATCAAGGAACAGCTGGTCACAAGAAGACTTAGAGTCAAATGCACGCGAAACAATTGAGGTAAGCTGTACCAATTGATCAACTGTTGACCTCTTTCGACAAAAAAAAAAAAACTGGCTGGAGCTGATAATTTTATGGCTCTCAACAAACTCGTACAATTTGGCAACTGCATTCAACAATGATATAGGACGGTAATTGACTGGGTGGGAAGGGTTACCTTTCCCCTTGAACACAGGTACAACAACGGCAGATTTCCACTCCCTGGGCTGAGTACTGAAAACAGATTGTAGAACTGATCAGGTGGCTGCCAAGGAGGACGGTAACAACAGAACACAAACGTGGAGTTGGGGCGATGCTCTTGTTCTATGCACACAATTTCAATGGTTGGGTCAGCAGGCTGAAGATCTGGACGATGTTTGGTGGTATGAGAAATGGAAGGGTGGAGGAGGAATGCCACTCCGCCTCCACGTCGCACGGTATTGTTACGGTCATGCCGGATGATTTTGTATTCAGCTGACGGTGTTAATATTGAACTCGTGATATCAGGAGTCAACCAGGTTTCAGTTATGCCCAATATATCTAGTTGAGATGTGTGCAGAATAAGTTTTTTTTATCTCATCAGCCCGCTTCAGCCAACTGCATGCGTTAACTGTGCAGATTCTAATACTCGACGGAGACTTTATATCAGGAATACAAGGTGCAAAGTTGAAAGTCAAAGGGGATGGGCGGAATGGTGGAGCAAGAGGGTTCAGTGCGGTCACTTGCGATTGTGGGCCGGGAGAGAACGGGGCTGCATTTGGGCTAAGAGTAAAGGCGTGTGGTGATGTGGGCATGGTTGTAAATATTTAACTTGACTCGGTGAACCACCAATCTCGAACGGAGATGCCGTCTGGCCAAAACTCATTATCACTGACCTCCTCGTTGTGTCGCTTGTCCACTGTGAGACGTTCACACAGTGTTCCGTATCTTTTCTGAGATGGAAAGACTCTGCAGGCTGTTGCCGTCACGTTATTTCTTCTGCGGGACCAACGTGCAGCTTCTTAATCCGTGCCAATTTCCAAGTTGCTCTGGGAGCATTGTCACCAATTAGCACTACCGACTCAATTCTGGGCTCGACCTTGGAAGAGCGACTGTGGTGATGTTGCTGTTGGGTGCGTTCACTCAAGGTTGACAAATAGTCGTCTCTCCATTGCTGCCAAAACTGATTCAGCAGCCTGTCGCCCTTCTTCCTTTTATTGAGGAGGTCAGTTGCAGCTGATTGGCTGTCGGGCAGATAGCCAGGGTCACTGGCGTCATCTGGCTGTACCAACGGCGGATGTGCGGTTGACGTCCTGATGGAGAGGGACTGCGACGGTGTCAGGACATTGTCAATGTCGCCGCTCACTTTTAAGTCAACGGTCGCGAGTTGACCACGGCCTCCACTTCACTCAACACTGTCTGCAGCTGAGAAAGGCATAGCTTTAGTGCGCCAAGGATCTTGCGGAGACATCTCTTCGTGATGCCGACCATTCTCTCATAGAATCCTCCCATCCAGGGAGAGTAGGGCACAATGAATTTCCATTCAGTGGATAGTGATGCACAAAACTGGGACGTCTCATCGGAATTCACAGCTTTCCGGTAAGCTTCGTTGATCACTGAGTGCGCCAGTATGAACTGTGGTGCATTATTGCACATGATCAGGGCTGGGGCACCTCGTCGCGCTATGAACCATCTAAAGGCTAGCAGGAAGGCTTCAGTGGACATATTCTCCACAACTTCAAGGTGTACAGGCCCTACTACGGGGGTGGGGGGTCTGGCAGGTCGTCAACAACTCGTTAGTTTTGCCCCTTGGTTGGCTATCGCTGTCGCAGTACATCGCACTCTTGCTCGGTTTCTTCACACTTGCACCTTTGTGCCTTTCCTTTATGTTTTATGACTATGACTATGACTATGAGGTTTTTAAATGCATTTACCGTGTTGTTTGGGGGTGCTATTCTTTGCTCTTGTCATCACATCTCTGCTGTATGAAAGTCATTGTGCTTTGTCAGTATCTTTTTGTCTGTACTCTGCCTGATGGGAAAGCAATTTTAAAAGTACTAGTGGAAGAGCTTTGAGGATGTTGATTATGAGGTGCCTGAAGCTTTTTCTTTTCTTGAGTGATGATAGACTAATGCCCATAGCTTCTGCACTGTAATATCTTTTCTCAGGGAAGACTTGGAACAGCTGCGCCACACTCAACCACATGGGCAGTACGTCTCGGGCAAGCTAGCAAGTCCAGTGGCATCAACTGTTCTTGGGACCGATTCTCTTTCTTTTTCGAGGTATGTGTTCTTGGGACCGATTCTCTTTCTTTTTCAAGGTATGTGGAGTATGTGTACCAGAACAACAGTGCCGTCCAGTTTGGGCTAAGCACTCATGCACTCATGCACGCACACACACACACACTCACACGCACACACGCACACCATGCACACACACACACACACACACACACACACACACACACACACACACACACACACACACACACACACACACACACACACACACACACACACATGCACACACACACATACACACACACACACACACACACACACACACTCTCTCTCTCTCTCTCTCTCTCTCTCTCTCTCTCTCTCTCTCTTTCTTCTTTTGTGGGAGCTACTGTGCTGGTTTGACGCCTGTGTTGCCTGTCTTGTTTCACATGCTGCAGATCAAAGAGCCTGTTTGGTTTTGGATCGGAGCGCGAGGAGGAGATTAGTGGCTTTATCACCAAGGTAAGCAGCTCTGTCCAGCCCATCACTACATTATAATATATTCACTACGTCATATGGCAAATGAGTTTTTTAAATGTTCAAAGATACAGTGGAGATGTGCATCAACTAAACCTATGTTGCTTGTATTTTGAATTGTGTTAGTGGTGATATGGAGTAGTGGGTGTTAGTGGTGATATGGAGTAGTGGCCTCAGCTGAATTGTGTTAGTGGTGATATGGAGTAGTGGTTGTGTTAGTGGTGATATGGAGTAGTGGCCTCAGCTGTAACATACAGTCCTCTGCAGCTGTGGTCGCTCTGCCAGGAGTTTCACTGGATGGTGCCCAGCGCTTTGTAGTTGTTGTTGTTGTTGTTGTTGTTGTTGTTGTTGTTGTTGTTGTTGTTGTTGTTGTTGTTGTTTTGGTTTGGCAACCATTCCCTTACCTGGTGCATTCACTACCACTATCCCGTTACCCACTTGTCCTACTTGTCTCTGTTGCTCTTGATTGGCTATACCGACATCCTCCCGCGCTACAAAGTGTATTTATCCCTTTCGCTACTTTTCTTGTTTCCCTCACAACCGCTAATCAAATGTCATGGTTGGCTAACAGCCACTCTATCCAAATTGGTCGGTGTTCCCACTACACCTTGAGATGTTGCTATAAATATAATGAATAAATTAAATAAATTTTGGCCCGGACGTCAATAAATACAAACTCGCTTTTGGCTTTATTGACTCAGCTGATAAACGCAGACACCGAGATTGTTTTACGGTATATTGAAGATGCTAGCATTGTGTGTGTGTTGCCCTCTGTCTGTGTGTATTGCCCTCTGTCTGTGTGTGTGTGTGTGTGTGTGTGTGTGTGTGTATGTGTGTGTGTGTGTGTTGCCCTCTGTCTGTCTGTCTGTGTGTACATGTCACCCCGTACCATGCGCCACTCCACCACTCCACCACTGCAGGTCTATAGCGCTACTGGTGTGGACATCGTGACCAGAACAAGAGTGGAGCATCTGAATGAAGCCGATAGGCAAGGCAGAACCGGTATGGGTGCTGAATTCCTTGAGTATGCCTGGCTGTAACAGCTACACCTTGTGCTAAGATTTCTCCGCAATCTCAATTATTTTTGTTCGGAGTGGCCCCGTAGTGATAAGGATTATGCCTGTACACTGCAACTAAAAGTTGTGGGAATGAAAGGGGAAAGGTCTGAACAAAAACTTGACTGTCACACCACCAGAGCTCAAACCAGGATCTCCATTTTCGCTATAGGCCAGCGATGCTCTCACCACTGAGCTATGGTGTGGTCGTCATCCAAACAGCAACTGTTCAACAATTTCTTTAGACGTTTTGTAAATGAGAAAACGGGCAAGGAAGGGTTACTTAAGGAAATGTGCTTTGGTCCATGCAGCACTCCTGCACGGTATGTGTTAATGGCTGGATGTAGATGGGTTTTTGAGCAACTGTATGAGATGCTTGAATCCATGCAAGGTCCCTGCCACCAGTATGACAGTATGAGATGCCATGTCAGTACTGAATATGACTGTGCTCTGTTTTGTCTTTCTGGGTAGATGGAGTTCTGCCCATGCAACGGCTTCTTGCCGGAGAGGATGATAGTGGAACTGGACATCTATCCGAGCACGTTGCTGCGGCCAGCGGTGGTACTAGCAGTGCTAGCGGTGGAGGTATCCTTCGGACATTTGCCGGAATCACCACTGTATGGGCCTTATCGTGTGTGTGTGTGTGTGTGCGTGTGTGCGTGTGTGTGTGTATGTGTGTGCGTGCGTGCGTGTGTGTGTGTGTGTGTGTGTGTGTGTGTGTATTGTCACTATTTGCCCTGATATTTGTGGTCAGTGTTCTTGTTGATGATAAAGGGAATATGCACGATGTCTAACTACTGCAGTACCGTGCAGTGCACAACTTTAATGACTTTTTTTTCCAAATGGGTCGCAACATATCTCCCCTCTCCAGCACTGGAGATAGTTTAATTAGAAATGTTGATCTCAAAGTGCTGGACTGTCATTAAAATTGCTCTATGTTTTAAAAGCACGTTGAAGTATGTTGATCTCAAAGTGCTCGACTGTCATTAAGATTGTCCAATGTCTTAAAAGTTAAAAGTACTTCGAAGTACTTGCAAGAGCCGTGTTGCATATTTCTGATACTTTTCTTCTCCGTGTCCAGTCTGTTAATACCGTGAAAACTGAACGTGAACACGATCTGACGGCAGACGAGTATTTCTTGCATGGACCACCAGATGCGGCGTCAGTCGGGGACGGTTAGTTTCACTAGGTTACTGTGGCTGGGTGTGTGGGTGTGGGTGTTTGGGGGGGGGGGGTTGAGGGAGGGGAGGGGGGACTGTCAAGGAGTGATGATGTGATGGACTTGTACTTGCAGTGTGCGTATAGGAAATCCGGTCGGCCTGGTCATGACAGCAGCTTTGAGGGCCTTTTTTATTGTTTCATCTCTTTTGCCCCTGATGTGTGCAGAAATTGGCCGTCCCATGGAGCTGACTGTTCAAAAGCAATCGTTCAAAGCAACTGCCTGCCTAGCAGATCGGTTTCCTTTGTCGTTACGAGATCAAGTGCTTCCCGTCATTGAACTCATGGTAAGTACAGGCGGTTGCACTCCATCAGTCTTGACATTCAGGTCCTTGCCACTTTTGTCGTGATCTGATTGTAAGACGTGGGAAAGGAGAAAGAAGAAAGAAGGAAAGAGGACAAGAGGTTTTCTCGGGAAATAGGAGGGGTGCCATGACGAGCAGAAGTGAGCCGCGGAAAATGTGAAGTAGTGTGTAGTCCCAATTGGGAAAATTCTTGTGTTTTGATTTGTGTGTGTACCAAAGGCCTTAGCGTGCTCACCATGTTTGATGATGTGCTGTATGCCTAATGTGAACTGTTTTGTCCTATAGTCAACGCATTCACCTCACTTTGGCCGAGTTCGTGATTTCATTGCGCTACAACTGCCAGCCGGCTTTCCGCTCAAGATTGGTGAGTTGTGGTCCTGTTCTTGCTTGGCGTGGGGTGCATGGTGTTGGGAGATAAATCCTGATGAGCGCACAGTGTTTAGGAGATAAACTCTGAGTGTATGGTGTTAGGAGATCAAACTGTATCCTAAAAGTCAATCCCTGGACAAGATATTTGCATGGAATCTGCCAGATCCCAGGGTAGGGAGTTCAGTTCCGGTCACAGAAAAGCGAAAAGTGCAGTCACAGATCGCCTGTACAAAGTGAATGGGCACCTCGTGACTGCAGTTCGAGATGCAGTTCGAGGCCCGAGTATCTTCTCCCGCGGCCTTTTCGTCCTTGTCGATGCTATTTTTAGGTAGCTGAGGTCATTACCTTTCCAATGGTGCCACACATGCCATGCTTCCAAAAATAATGCCTCCGCGCTTGGCGCGGATGCACTTCGAAGTACTAATTTCGACCAGATCCGTACTCGGCCCCACGAGGAACACCCGATTTTCGTGTTCAGCGGCCTCGAATTAGCCTAAACCAAGAGGATTCTAGAACATTGAGGCTCGCGCTTTATTGCGGTAGAAGGAAGATGATCACAGAAACCAGCCCACGGCGATTTCCTGGTGGTAGACGAAAAAATCGAGTGAACTGCGCGCACGCTGTAGAAGCAATGACGGTGAAAACGTGTGACTTGTGCAAGCAGGCGCGCACGGCATGCGTGCACACTGCATGGCATGCACACATCCGGTATCGCCATGTATGCACCAGATAGTGCAGTGCTGGACGGAACCACACGGCTCACATACATACTTGCATTTACTTCTGTGACTACTCTCTCCCCCGTTTTCCGATCTTCAATCGACTATAACTCTAGATTGCCTTGGAATTTTGGGTTCAAATTTTCACAGGTTGTTTCTCACATCTTCCCGGTTTAGAAAGACTAGCGTTTTATGCGAAACTCGCGAATTTGGTTTTCGATTGAAGTCCCTACCCAGGGTGCTGTGATTAACTTAGCCGGCATATGGCACTGGCACAACTTGCCAAACAAGCTACGTTGAAATCAGCACTGGCACTGTATTAGTACTACAACTTCTGTCTCTCCTTTCCCATGTGTCGCTGCCGCTCTCCAATTGGGCATTTTTTCCTTCTCGTGGCGTGTATCTTCCAGATATTCCCTTCTTTCACATCGTCCAAGCTTCTATCACGTTTGGCAATCTGAACGGGTCCAGTGTCGAGCCTCCCCATGTCAAGCGTGTCAGTGTCCCCGTGTCGCAGAGTGAGACTTCCGCCGCTGGCGATACTGGTGCCGCTGGTAGCGGTGGTGGTGTCCGTGGCACGCAGGTGGCAAGCGGCAGTGGCAAAACTCGCCGCCGCGGCCACCAGCGCGACATGGGCAGCAGCGTCGATGAGGAGCAGCGCCCGTTCTTGGCCAGCGGCGAGAGCGGTGCCGACAGTGCCGGCACCTCCGTCGATCTCCAGGAAGTGGTGATGATCGATGACGAGTGCTTTGAAGCGCCGGCACACTACCAGCTGATGAGCAACGTGTACGATGAGTTCATTGGCGGAGACGACCAGCTGATGAACGAGGATCGTCTGCTGCAGTACGCTATCAGTCAGAGCCTGGCGAATCAAGACGCTGCTCGTAGCACTGGTGGTGATGCGTCAGTGACTGGTCAACGCAGTGCTGCTGATACCAGTGCTGGTGAACAGGTGAGCCGCTAGGTACAGTGTTACTCTATGAAATCCAATCAAGCGAGTCAATGCCACGCCGGGTGCTGTGCACACCCAGACCTGTGAACACTGGGCCGTGCACTGCCGCAGGGCGCCAACAACTTGACTCGCGCGATCGGATTTCATAGAGCAGCACTGTACATGTAGTTTAACATATTGACATGTTGTGCAGATCAAGTCCTTACGATGCATAACCTCGAGGACATGTGTATAACCCAACACTGCGTGTTATGTATTGTATACTGTCACATCTGATGGGGAATGTATATCCTGTACTACTACTACCCAATGCTGTACAGGGTTCTAGCCAGGTCAATATAGTAGGGGGGCGGGCATGGGAAAAAGTTACCCCATGACCCATTTTTTCCATTGTCCAAAATTGTCTTGCCATGCAAAATGCAACATACAGGGTGAACCCCCCCCCCCCACTTCACCCCTCACAAATGTGCCTTTATGAACCCTCTAGTAGTGACTATCGACTGTATTTTCGTTGAATGGCGTGAAAAAACACAAAAATCGGAAAATGAGTAGGGGGGCGGCACTTTTTCACAGGGGGGGCGAGCAAACGTTGTAGGGGGCCGCAGCGCTGCGCCCCCCCTACCCCCCCCCCCCCTTTGGCTAGAACCCTGCTGTAGACAGCACGCTGTTTCGGCCATAAAGACCTCATCAGTACAGCTACGAGCTTTAAGTAAACCGAGCTACCAGCCATTGTGCAGAGGAGGCACCACAGACATTAAGATAGCTCGTCTCTCTAGCGCCAGAGTTTTTTTTCAGGGAGTAGTATAACGTTTTATTGCGGACAATCAATATGCAATGCGATCGTACGATGAAAATAAAGCGCCAGAGTGCTCTAACTACGAAAAGTAGCGGGCAATGCGTAATGCAGCAGCACTACAGCAGCCTACTGAGAGTGCTAAACAAGACGAAAGTCGAAGAGCATAATACCCAACTACACTATAATTTACCTGGACTTTCGACCTATGTTGGAATTATAAATGCATGAAGCCATCGCAGGTGATGTACATGCAGTGCCCAAGTTGTGCATGCCACTGGCGCAGCTGTGACAACTGCATTTTTCCATCTTCAGTGGATCCAGTTGTGTTCCTCTGCTATTGATGCCCATCCACTAAAGAATGACAGCATGGCGATTGAATGCATTTTGTGAAACTCTCTGTGTGCTCCCCTGCGTCTTTACCCAAAAGTCGAGGTCTGATTTTCTAACGGCAAACATGAATTGTTTCGTTGTTATCCAGATTCCACAGCCCTGGCATGTCTAATCTTTTGTAACATTGAATCATTCCATTATACTAGCGAGGCAGTTGTGAATGGTTTGATGTCAGCTCACCAGTAATTATTCACTATCATTTCACACTGGATGTTCCCTTTTTTAAACACAGCTACACCTTCGGTCTGATTGATACGTACTGCAATGTAGTGGAGGGCAAGTTCAAGTCCTTTTTAAACTGTACATTATGTTTCTACGTCAAGATGCGCGTGTGGATGAGCATGAAGAGTAAAAGGCCTTTTGTGGTTATCCCTCGTGTTTTGTACGTGTACATCAGGTCACGTTCATGGAAGCGCTGCTGTCGTCCCCGCCGTCTCCACCGCCTCCACGACAGCCCAATCTCACTGGCGCTGAGGATGTGGAGTTGCAACGGTATGTGCTGCACGTGTCATTGCGTATCCTGTCCTGTGCTGTATCCTGTCCTGTGCGGTACATGCTTCATACTGTTGTGTAGTGAGAACTTGGGACATTCTTGTGGGAACGGAGCATTACCTATTTTTGGTCCACATCCAAAGGATTGTGGACGTGGCATCCGTGCCTTTATCTTGCTGTCAGCCATGGATGTTCTTCAACGTTGTGCTAGGTACAATACTAGTAAAATGTCGCACCTGCTGTGCAGTCCACAGCTGGTAGACTTGCTGTAGAAACTGTATCGGGTCAATACCATTTTGTTGACATGCATACATGTGTGTATGTGTGTGTGTGTGTGTGTGTGTGTGTGTGTGTGTGTGTGTGTGTGTGTGTGTGTGTGTGTGTATGCGTGTGTGTATGCGTGTGTGTGTGTGTGTGTATGCGTGTGTATGCGTGTGTGTATTGTGTTGTGCTGTGCCGTGCTATCAGAGCGCTAATGCTGAGCATGCAGAGCAGCGAGGCGACCAGCGACAGTAGCAGCGCTAATGCATACGAAGAGCTTGCACCACCGGTACCGACATCGGCCCGGCCAACGTCCGTATCCGGTCTATCCACAACTGGGTCCACTCCGTCAGCGCCTCTCAGTGACACCGAGGCTATGCAGCACATCTTGGCTATATCTGCTTCGGAGGCCGAAGAGGAGCGACGTCGTCGTGAACAGGAAGATGCCGACTTGGAGCGCATACTCCAACTCTCCTTGGCCGAGAAATAAGTAGAAACGTCGAGTTTACTTGTAGCTACTTTGAATGTTTTGAGTTGACGAGTCCCGTTTGCCCCTCTCCTTCCGTGAAGCTAGACCTTATCTTCCTCGCAGTGTGTACATACCGGGTAAGTTCGTATGTATCTTTATTCTAGTTCAATTATCTAGCTGTTTTTACCAGCACAAGTTCTGATATAGCTTGCGCAAAACTGTAGTGCTGCACACACATTTTATCAAATTTGGGAAGGACCTCAGTCCCTAGCACCTAGTGACGTGCACATACTCTTTCACACGCTCATGTGTGTGTGTCTGTGTGTGTGTGTCTGTCTGTGTGTGTCTGTGTGTGTGTGTGTGTCTGTCTGTGTGTGTGGCGCGCGCGTGTGTGTGTGTGTCTGTGTGGCGTGCGTGTGTGTGTGCATGCACACATAATACCGTATACGCACGCACGCCATTCATGCAAACACTGCGCATACGCAGTTTTTCTTATTGTTTGCCGGTCAGTCGGTTATTTTGACATGATTTTCCAATTTGCTGTTTAGCGCTTCTTCCATTCCAATCCTTGCATGCAACTCAACTCAATCATAATAACACATCATCCTTACCTGGGAGCCATGAAAGTCCTCCTCGCGACACCGTGATCATAACGAACTGAAAATTTCACTGAACTAGGCCGAACGTGTTTTCCCTCGAGGCTCAAACAAGTTCACTCGTATAGGCCCCCGGTTTTTTTAGAGTACATTATGGAAGTACCATCTTCGTATTATTTTCCCATATTTTTTATGTTTCAAAACTCACCCCCCCCCCCCCCCCTGCAATATTGCCTCCTTTTTTAGCTATGGAGCTGGCGTGACGACATAGCCTCCGTTTTACTCTTACATCAACATGTACAATACTAGTACTTCAGTATCTGCTATTTTGATAGGTTTGCTTTTTCTACAGTGATAGGACATAATTGTTGTGTTGAGCTTGTTGTTGCTGATGTTGCTGCTTTGACGTGAAATCAGTACGATTCTGTTGCCCCGCGGCCACACGAACAGTGCCAGATGATGTATGTTGATGATCAGATGTATGTTGCAGCGAAACACCGGCATAACTGTTAGCTGTTGTCCATTGCAACTTGACTGGTGCAATTAATATTTGGCTCTGTCCTCTCTGTATTGAGCACCTTTGCAAGTGATTAGCAACTACTTAGCTCAGTGTGATGCATGATATGTGTTGTAGTCAATCCGCCATCTAACCTTCGAAGCATGACTGAATGAGTGATGACCATGGAGGTGCAGGTCCTGGGTGGAGTGCTCTCATACTAGCAAGAGTGCATAAACAAGAGTATGCAACTGTGGTTATGGGCCAGTGCGCGGCGCGCTGCCTTCATTACGTAACTTGCCTCCATCACGCTCTGAAAGCATGCACTCAAACCCACAATTTCTCGTACGAGTCCATCCGGTTTTGCTCGATTCATTCCAGTACCTACGCGATCTCTAAATTTTGGCGCGTGAACTCCAGTTCCGTACGAAATTCATTTCAAACCAGAGGGAAAGCGCGGTGTTTGATTTTCCGCAGTGCGCGGACTGCAGCTGAATGATGTATTGAAGGCAGCGCGCCGCGCATCTGGCCCATAGAAAAGAGATCACAGTTGCATACTCTTGTTTATGGACTCTTGATACTAGTCATAGCACACTTCTGATGATGAAGTTTGAGCAGAAAAAATAATGGGGAATGACTGCCTGAGTATTGTGGAAACACGGTGACTGTATCAAGTAAGTTCACAATGGCCGGTGGTGCTACTTTATCCATGAAAGCAAGAGTACAATCATAATGTGTACTCTTGATGAAAGGCATGAGCCATGAGGTTGGATTTCTGTGGCCAGAAGTCATGAAGTGTAGTTATCATGGTTATTGGCACAGGGAGTCGTAAATAAACGAGTCGATTCGTTTTTGGTGCAGGGAACTCGCAGTCGTGCCATGGCAAATCACCATGACGACCCCGACCGCCTTCTCTTCAAACGCAGCACTGAACCGGGGACGTTGCGATAGCTGTCGCTGCATGTATGCCGTGTCAGTCAGATCATCAGATGTGTTTTGTCAAGAGTCTGGGGCTGGGATTTGTTCACAAAACATTGTTTCTGAGTCCTGAATGTAATGTTCTGGAATCGATTGGGTACCGAGAAAGTAGTGTACTAGTTCGGCAGTTACCAAACGACGTGGAGCTGGCAACAACATTTGCCTGCGTTTCAAGTAACTTAGTTGACTTGACTGCCTATGGCGTTCACTCACCTTCAGAGGATCATCCCGAGTCGTTTTCTAGCAGCGTCTGACTGAAGTTACTCCGTGGTCTTTACTCTCACAGCTTCATAGCAAGCCGTTGCTCACTACCTGAAGTGTTGGCAGTTTTGGGGATCATGGCCGGCAACAGCTATCACATGAAGTTCGAGCCGGTGGACTGGCACAAGGCGAACGATTTTCTAGCCACCACTGCCAACAAGCAACGTGATGCCAGCGATCAGCTTCGTCAGCAGAGCACCACGCTGCGCAATGCCACCGAGAATCGCACGCAGTGGTCTCAGCACGACTCCAAGGCGGCGCTGCAGGACCGCGCCCGCGACGTGGACCGCTGGAAGCAGTCGTTGGAGACTTGCCTGGCGGATACGGAGAGCGAGATAGCTGCGCTGGAGAAGAGCAAAGACGAGACGGAGCAGTGCCTGAACGAGAAGGCAGTGCCACTCGACGTGGTCGTGGAGTGTCTCACCATGCGAGAGAGTCGTGTTTCCATTGATCAAGTCAGAGATGCTGTTGAAATACAACTGCATAAAGTAAGCGGTGACCCCATTTTGCATTGCCACAATATACGTGCCGGGAGCATAGCGGGGGGGGGGGGGGGGGTCCTTACTTATTTGGGTTACATTTGCCGGTCCACTTTTTTGTCGTCTTCATACTTGCATACATGCGCCTATATTCCTCAAGTCAGTTTGAACTCGTGTTCGGGGAGGGGGTTGGGGTGCTCTTACCGTTGCTAGCTATGCCGGCAAGCACACTCCCAGCTCGGTCCACTTTACCCATGTATCAGCGTCTGCATGGCTGTGCAAAACGTGCGGCGAAGAAGATTTCACTTGCACGGCGCATAGCTGATCCATGGAGTATATGTGTCTGACGGCTCAACCGCCAGCCATAAGTACGTGGAGCAGTTTCCTTATAATTGACACAACGACCCACCGTAGTCGTGAAGGAACTGTAGTTACTAGTATTCTACAGCAAGTATACCCTGTACCAACACAAGTATACCCTGTACCAACACAAGTATACCCTGTACCAACAAGTGAAGCCTTGGCTATCACCCAGGCCAACCCGGCCTTCTGGCCCCACTTTCGCTTTGACCTCTGAGTCTTACTCTGTACCCACCCCACATACCTCTCCTCTCCCTCTCCGAGTCTCTCTTCACCCCCACCCCCACCCCCATTCCCCGATGTGTGAAGTGCCCAAAGCCCAACAGTCTGTATGATTTCTTTGCATTCTCCTTCCAGGAGCTAGAGGTTGTTGAGGGCTGTAAAGCTCTTTTGGGACAGAAGCTGGCTGAATCCTACAACCAACTAGGGTAAGTTACGATTGCTCAATACCAGGCTGAGGGTACCGCGGAGTACTGTCTTGTTCTGTACACGATCCCGGCATGAATCAGCTCTACTTGTCTTCAGTACTGGAGTGGTAACCTATAGGCTATAGGCAACTTGATGGCATTGCTAGGTACGGCGTGCAGTTACCTGGCAAGCAAACCGTGATGACCTACCCAGCTCTGGTGCTGTGCATGTGCATGGTGAACTTCAAAGTAACCTCACCTCTCAGTCCGGGGGGGGGGGGGGGGAGGAGCAGATTGCAATGTTGTCACAGTTTGTGTTGTAAGATCAAGTTCTCGGAATCAGAAGTCCTTGTCCTTGTGACCTAACTTTGTTCTAACCTTGATCTCTACCCTCTCTCCTGTGCAGAGCATTGCAGGAGGCTCGTCACCAACTGCAGCTAGACATCGCCGACAAGTCAGCAGCACATGGTCTGGATTCGGAATGCATCAAGCTTGACCATACGTCGGGTAATATAGGACTGTGGAGAAACTCGACTCGTGTTGAAAACGGGTAAGTCAAGCCAGCTTATCAGCCAGCTAGCCGCAGAGCTGCCACAGATCAATATGGCAATAGTTTGTGTCCACACGTTAATGCGACCACTTGTCATAGAGAACCCCTACAAGAAGCAGCAGTACTGAGGGGATGTGGCTTCCACTCAGGTGACCCTGTATGTGTACAGGGGGGCCCCCTGTACACAGGGACCACCTGTGCACAGGGACCACCTGTACACAGGGACCACCTGTACACAGGGACCACCTGTACACAGGGACCACCTGTACACAGGGACCACCTGTACACAGGGACCACCTGTACACAGGGACCACCTGTACACAGGGACCACCTGTACACAGTGACCACCTGTACACAGGGACCACCTGTACACAGGGACCACCTGTACACAGAGGCCACATATCAGTGGAGGTTTGTGAGCGGGTGCCCTAGGTTTCACTCCGAGGCTAAATCGATGCAGTATGGACTGCAGTACATGTACATGAAGCATCTTGGCCAGTATTCCACGGTGCCTGACTCTGTATTCCACGGTGCCTGACTCTGTATTCCACGGTGCCTGACTCTGTATCCGCATCCATATCTCACCGCCCAAGTCCTTACTTGCTCTTGCATGGCGAACTGAGTCAGGAGCTGTGAGCTAGGGTCGGTTAGCATGTAAGTATGAGTTCTTGTCAAGTTCGAAACTATGTCACTCTTACTTACCTTGGCCAACCCATGCCGCATATTCCTGGAGACAGCACTGGATAGTACGGTACCAGTACTGGCATACAATACAATCAGTACAGTAATGATACTGTCTGTATTGACACATGATTGTATCAAATTTCCCTCTGTGTTTAGAACGGTCACGCCGAAAACCTGGGACTCGTACTCAAACTACAACACCATGCGTGCCCAAGCCGAGATGAAAGCATCTGTGTCGTTGCGCGATGCCATCAGTCACACCATAGCACAGGTACTAGTATGCTGTTCTTGTTTGGTGACCACTTGTAGTTTGATTATTTGAATTCGAAAACCCGGTCTCGCTGTACAATGTACAACAGCATACATGTTTAACAGTTGCGTGTCCATGCCACCAGCCTCACCAGGGTTTACCATTACGCTAATAATCAGGTATTAAAAAACTTGTTGTGTTGGTCACTTTGATCTCCTGTGCTGAAGAACAGCCGAGTTCAAGGAGGGTTTTTTCAAAGGTGACCAATGAATTATGCATTTGAATGGCAAGAAGTAGGGACATGTCAGGCTAGATAAGTTTTCTCTACGTTCCACGTTGGCCCGCACACAAGACCACTGTAATTACTAATAGCCTTGTGGACCTAGATCGACACTGTACTTTTAAAAACTAGGCTGGAGCATTGAAACATTGAAATGCACGGCTTTCCTCGATTGTGCATTGTTGCGGCGTCCCCTGCAGACAAACATCGACCTGCAGGTGCAGCACCGTGCGACCAACAGCGCATATCGGCGGCGCCTGCACGAGATGAAGCAGACCCGGGAGGAACTTGTCTGGCAGCAGAAGACAACGGCGGATGAGCTGGCCAAGGTCGAGGCAGAGGTGAACAGCTTGGCGGACGCCCTCCACGCCAAGAACGCGCCGATGATGATCGCGCAGACGCGCCTGGAGGCGCGCACCCAGCGCCCCGGCGTGGAGCTGTGTCGTGACGGTGCCCAGCATAACCTGACCGGCGAAGTGGACAACCTGACCGGCACGATGCGAGCACTGGCTAAGCAACACCGTGCTGCTTCGTAAGTCATTCTCTATTGCCGAGAATTTAGAATGATGATCAACCATACAACCTGACATGTACATGTACTCCGCAGTCACAGGTACCTGCTGACGTCAGTGCATAGTACACTGTAGCGGCTATACCCCAAGTACAGGAGCATTGTGTAACAAAAGTAACACAGTTATTGATCCATGCGAAAGTATGTTGGAGTAAGAAGTTCCTTCGATTCGCAAATACATGTTCCCGTTGCGCATGGGAACACATTTTTATCAGACTTCCACTGCAGTTATGATTTCATACTACTAGTTCGAATTACCGTATTTGCCGGAGTATAACGCGCACCTGAGCATAATGCGCTTACACCAGGTTTTACTGTACATCTAAAGTGCACAATACTCCAGCAAACACGATAGATAAACTGGTCTGTGCTCTGGTTGCCATGTACCGTATACCATGATGTTGGCTCTTGGATTGAGACCATAAATTAGGAACATTAAAATGGAACATGGATGCAGCGAACGGGGTGTTTGGTACTTGGTCACTTTGGTGGTGGGTCCGATCTACTCACCTCCCACCACAGTAGGAACTGCATCTCCACCTTGATGCTTGAGCGAGTTGAGGTGGTGGTGTTCCTACGGATGCGGAAAACTCGGTCTACCCGAGTCTCTATGCATACCGCGGAACTATTATTTTCTCTAATTAGTCAACGGCCAAGCTACCATCATGTGTTATCAACAGATACCTAGAGCACATTTTGTATTGTATTGTTTATTACATTAATGTTTCTGACTTGATGCGCCCGTCAACGGTTAACTTTGCTACTCATCATAATAATTTTGTTTTGTCTCTGAACTAATTTTTGTTGTCATTGCAGAGAGGCACTGGAACGACTACAACGCACCCTGCAGCGCATCAACAACGACATTCGCATCAAGGAGAACTCAATGGGTCTCGACCTGCAGTGCATGCAGACCCGGCAAGGCAAACTGACCGACTGCGACAGCTCCCTTGCCCAGGAGTTCTACGTCCCCCAGCAGCAGCAGTCGGAGGAGCAAGAGCAGCACGAGCAAGGCGGCAGCACACCGCGCATGGACAGAGGGATGAGCCACGATAGTTCCCGTGCCAGCACTGCTCGCTCCAGCGCGACCACACTCAGCCAGAGCACAATAAATAGTCCATGATCAGAAGACTGGAGGATAGCGGTCACTGTCATGGTTGTGCACTGGTGTCATGGCTACTGGCCTATTGCTCGAGTACTGGCCAATAGTCTGGCGTGCAGTTACGGTTCACCAGTATGAAACACAATGTACATGATTGTGTACTATGCTCTTCACGCGCAGTCTGTTAAGCACACACACACACCTACAGCAAGCAGTGCAGACATGAAGGCTACGCGTGGCCTCCTTTCTTGGACATAAAGTCATTGCCCCAATGGCACCGCAACCAAGCAACTATGATCGTATGCTCGTCCGTAACTTGGGCTATTGAGTGCCGTCTGTTCTTTATCCTCATAGTAACTTAGGTAATAGGTAGTGGTGTAGAGCAGTCCTGCTCTTCCGTAATAACTTACTGATTATTGGCAATGATCAGTCTTGACTTCTAGAACAAAATGAGCTGCGCACACATTAATAAATATTCTAGGAATCAGTTTTGGCTTTCCTTATGTTTTCTTTTTCAATTTGTCATAATACCTGGGTCTGTTTCAACTGATGAAGTACATGTAACGTGCTACACAGCGCATGCTTGTCTACTTCCAAGTACCGTATTTTCGGAATTAGTGCCAGTCTTTTATTAACGCCTGTCTGAAATAAGGTCCACATCATTTCCGGGCTTTTGTGTGGATTTTACAAATTGGGTGAAATTTAGGGCCCGCAAACTACTAAGGGCCTTGGCCAGTATTGCCGAAAATACGGCATGTCCAGTAGACTCAGACTCTCTTCCTCTCTGTCTTTGCTCTCTGTCTGTCTGCCTGTCTCTCACTCACTCACACAGACAGACAGACAGACAGACACACTCGATCTCTATGCACTACATGTACATGCAGCTACAAATTGTAAGTTACATGTAGCTGTCAACACGTTTTAGCGCTCTCGCACACACGCACACAATGAACTTGCCCTCAGTGTCCAATGATACACACTATTTACTTCATTCCACTGCATCAACTACTTGACTGTTGTGGTGCAGTGGGCACATCGAGTACTGAAAACTGGCTGCATTTGAAGGCTGTAGCATGTTCAAACACATCTGAAAAATAGTGGAAGACCAGTCCAGCAGTTCAGATGACTATGTAGTATATTGTTTGTTGCACACTGACCTGAAGAGAACAGTACGAACTGTACTCAAGATGGGTAAATTTATAACATTTGTTACGATCCTACTTCAAAGCACATCTCGCTGTACAAGCCAATGGCAGTCTGAAGACTCGAAGCAATACCAGCACACTCAAGTCAGAGTGGCTGACGACGTAAGTAGGGGGTATGCACATGAAACCGTAGCATGTACACGGCCACCACGATGTAAGGGTCTTCCAAGTTCCAACTGAGTAGGCAGCTAATGGTCAGTATGGCAGTGGTGCCATTGTGGTATCATTATAGTGTGCTGACCATAGCCACAGGTAATCACCGCCACACAAATCCATCCAGAGTGTCGGCGAGTTGTCAACGACGCCAGTTTGGTACTGTAATGATGTTCACTGACATAGCTCCAAGCCTTCGCACATTGGCAACATTGCATAATCGCACCCGCCGTCAGTGCTGTAGCAAAGTTGCTGGTGTTAAAGAAACAGAGATCCATACAGAGCGCATTCCACCGGGAAAACAGGGTCTGTTCTCCCAGCATTCAGTAGGGTCTTTGCAGCCGTTGGAATTCCAAATCCTTGCCAACATACGCGTCATGATTCATACGGATCTGCAATGCGCCGATAGACAGCCAAGTGCTTGTCGCCAGAGTTGCGAGACACTTTCTTGCCTTCTTCGGAGCTGTTGAAGAGCACCGGCACGATAGGATCATCAGCTAGCTCTTCGTCGGTCAAGCGCTTGAACAGCGCATGCTCATCTAAACACTTTGCCATCCACTCATGCAGGTCCAGCACATCTGTCACGGTGTAAACGATGCCGCCTTCGCGCAAGACGTACGCATACTCGGCGAGAAGAGTCGGGCTGATAATCCTCCACTTGTGCTTGCACTTCTTGAAGTGCGGGTCGGGAAACAGGAAGAACATCTTGGAAAGCTGTCCTTTCACGAAGAAGTTGGGCAAGTACTTCATGGCGTTGTGCCGGAGCACAGCACTGTTCTGATAGCCGCGCGTTGCCTCGTGCTGCTTGCGCAGAGCGATGATGCGGTCGTTCACAAAGTCAGCAACTTTGACACGGATCTCCATTCCGAGCATCAGCGTCGTCGGAAACAGCTGAGCGAGTTCGACCAGCAGTCCACCGTACCCGCAGCCCACATCTGCAAACTCGACTTGACGTGAAATAGCCGCGGATTCAGGCAGGCAGGGTTTCTTTGCTGACGGTTCAACTGCCTGCTGATCATCGCCGCTAGCAGCTGCTTGATTATCATCACCTACCGCCTCAGCACAGCTACTTTTACTGTCGAATACCTCAGGGTACAAGGATGACCAATCCATCTCTGATGGCTGTACAGGATAGTCGAAGATATGATCAGCAATTGGATTCACATGTGCTCTCTGCCGATAGTACTTCTTCTGCGGCAGTTGAGCCGGCTCGGCTACTTTCTTTACATCAGCCATACCAACACACGAAACTGAACAATTCTAGCAAATGGAATATCGATCTGCATGCGATTTTTCTTTCCAGAGTTCACTTCCTGCGCAGTTCAGTGGTCCTGAACAAGCAATATTTGCCCGATTGGAAATCCCTGAAGAGCCAGGCAGAGCTAGAGGCAATGTATAGACAGGGCCTAGGGCCCAGGAATAGGAATCGTCGCAGACAATTATCCACTCAGATAATGATAATAATCTGTGGCTGTGTACATTTTTTTGCTTCTTTTTCTGTCTGCTTGCCCGAATGGGGAAACCCCTATTTTGGAACTCACTTTGAGTTGATTTTCAAAATCAAAAATCTCTGTTCATTTGTTCACTCTCTGTAGCTAGCTGTGTACGTGTCTTTGCAATTATATTCTATCTGGTCATCTTTAGTACTTTTACATGTTGTAGACGAGAAGAAGACTATCAATAAATTGTAATGAAAATGTTTATGCACTGAGAAAGAAAAGTGGGAGCAGGCTTTTTCCTACGTTACTCTGTAGACATGGAGGCGAAGTGGAAAAGGTATCGCAAGACCAAATTTATTGGTGAAGGACAGGTACGCTTGTTCACACATTCCACTACCCATGTCCATCGCTGTTGTACCATGCAATGAATTGTCTATGTTGTGTGTCTGTTTATGCCCATGTCTTTGGAATTCGGTATGGTGGCATGATTGTGTAGTTTGCTACTGTTTACCAAGCTGAAGATCTTCACAACCCAGGCACCTTGGTTGCCATAAAAAAGGTTGGTACTCTTTGTGAGAAGATCCAAAGTCCGTAACCCTCCATTCGGGGTTATAGACTCTTGCCTTTTGGTGAAATATTTGCTCCGTTGCTAGTATATGTACGAAACTGCATGCTTTCCCAGTCCATGCAGTCACGTGACATTGAATTATAATACGAAAGTAGTTGATGGTGTTATACACAGTCGCATGATGATCACCACAGTCAGCCTCGTGAAAATTGAAAGACCTTCTCTACTGCTGTAGAGTACAAGAGTTGCAAACATCACAGCACAACATGACACGGTGCTATAGTCTTAATTACGAACGTGTTCCAAAATTGCAATTTTCGCACTCCGCCTCATCAGTGGAGGTATGGGATGGGGCGTTCACTACTGCATGTATGATATCCGTATGCTCTCATGCAAGTACGCATTCCAGACACATGGTCTCATACAAGTACGGTAAACTCTGACTAATAAGCAATTGTGCATACGAAAAAAGGTTCAAAATCCCCAAATTCGAAGCATTTTGCCATAGGAACTCAATCTGAAGGTGTCCGGTAGAGAGACGTGCCCGTATCTGAGACGTCTGTATAAGAGACGTTTGAGTGTACACACAAGGGAACACAGAAAAAGTACAGAAGTTCCTATCCGAAGTACAGTCGTGGCCAAAGAAATCCAACCCACGTGCCGAAAGCAGCGCCAAGGCTCATGTGGCCCTCGGATCTGTTTTGGGAACGTGCATGATGTCATTGAAGTGGAAACGTGCCCCTACTTTTGACTCGCGGGTCGGATTTCTTTGGCCCCGACTGTACGTCCCTATCCATTTTGCAAGAAATTGTCAAAAATCATGATGCATATCAAAATGATGCTCTTTGCATGTTTGCACCATTTTCTGTTACTGAAGTTGTTCTTGGCCCATTCTGCACAAAGCAATTATTTCTTTGATACTTGTACAATGTACTTCAGTACAATTAACCCTTTATGGACTGCCAAATTTGTACAGGAAAGAAGCGACATGCGAAAATCAGTAATAACTCGAAATCGGTGTACATTAGCCAATACAACACCATACATTTTCGGAAAGTAGATAGGATAAGCTGCCCAACAACATCCTTGCCGCCGCTCTCGCTACTAGCAGTATCAGCAAATCCATCAGATAAGTTGTTTTCTTGAATTTCTGGGATATCATCATCACTATCACTGTCCACTTCGAACTCGTCGTCATCAGACTCGTCAAGTGGGTCGCCAGAACTGTCCTCGTCAGAGTTCCAGTTCAGAATCATGCCGATGGCATCGTCCGCATCCATGCGGAGGACATTTCCGCGTCGTGCCATGACAGTACTCGTACTGCAATTTTAGTTCTGCATGCTCGCGCAAGCTCTCAATTTTTTTTCTTGCGCGGCCGATTTGGCGAACATTTTGACTAGGGACCCCCGGCGAATTTAGCACCATTGGAAAGATATGGATTTCGTCTTTCGATTTGTGTAAAAAATATCGCCGAAAACGTGCGGTGCGCCCAGAAAAATTCGCGTTTAAAGTTTCGATCTTATTGGATCGAAACTCGTACAGTCCGTCCACAAAGGGTTAACAAAGGAAGAATAGAAAAAAACGGAGCTGAAAAGTACTATGCTGTGAAACACGCATGAAGACAGCTGATAAGGTCGAGGGGAAAAAGAGGACCAAGGAGCTACAAGTTCCGCTATAGTGTCCACTAACACCGCCAGTTACTTTACAATCAGCCCATGCGATAACATTTCACGACACTGACCAACGATACTGACATTCTACACCTAACTGGCAATCGGCTCTAGCACGTCTTGGATGCCAGTTAGGTGTAGAACGTCAGTACCGTTGCTCAGTGTCGTGCAATGTTATCGCATGGGCTGATTGTAAAGTAACTGGCGGTGTTAGTGGACATTATAGCGTTACTTGTAGCTCCTTGGTCCTCTTTTCTTCTGATATGAAAACAGTACATTTTGTACGGTACGCATGAAAGTTAGCTGCCAACGCCAAGGCCGACACCAAATTGCCAGCCCACCAAGACGACGACGTGACCCCGAAGAGGAAGCACGGTCAACCAGCCGGACGCGTTGCCATGAACGATGCGGTTGAGGGTCTGCTGTTGGCGAGGCAGAAGTGCAGCACGGAGGAGTCGACTACGTTCCGTCATCTGCAGGTCTCGAGCGCGGCTGACCTCATTGGTGACTTGACGACACTGGCTGATGTGGTGAGCCATGTTGACCGGTGCAGATGGCGATCTGCTGAATCTCTGTGGCGTGTTTCAATGTGGCGTGAGCATCAGGCGCCAACGTGACGAGATTGGCCAGACCGAGACCCCCCTCCCCCCTCTTTGGCTGGGAGGGCCAACAGATTGTTACTGAATTGTTACTAAACTATCCTAACCACCCCTGCATCCAACCCTTGGCATGCACTACAACCGACAACCGTTGCAAACGTGGGTGAGAGAATACATAAAGTAAATTCAGTATAACTTGGGAAGACGATTATTGAAAAGAGGAAAAAGGCAGCTGCATCAGTACAGTTACACAACAAGATCTTGCTCAATGGCAAGCACCTCAAGACCGAGCAAGCTGGGGGCGAATATATGCCGGATAGATTCCCGCGGGGTGATGTAGACCCGTTGCCTTCCAACACACGAGGAAGCACGGTCAACCAGCCGGACGCGTTGCCATGAACGATGCGGTTGAGGGTCTGCTGTTGGCGAGGCAGAAGTGCAGCACGGAGGAGTCGACTACGTTCCGTCATCTGCAGGTCTCGAGCGCGGCTGACCTCATTGGTGACTTGACGACACTGGCTGATGTGGTGAGCCATGTTGACCGGTGCAGATGGCGATCTGCTGAATCTCTGTGGCGTGTTTCAATGTGGCGTGAGCATCAGGCGCCAACGTGACGAGATTGGCCAGACCGAGACCCCCTCCCCCCTCTTTGGCTGGGAGGGCCAACAGATTGTTACTGAATTGTTACTAAACTATCCTAACCACCCCTGCATCCAACCCTTGGCATGCACTACAACCGACAACCGTTGCAAACGTGGGTGAGAGAATACATAAAGTAAATTCAGTATAACTTGGGAAGACGATTATTGAAAAGAGGAAAAAGGCAGCTGCATCAGTACAGTTACACAACAAGATCTTGCTCAATGGCAAGCACCTCAAGACCGAGCAAGCTGGGGGCGAATATATGCCGGATAGATTCCCGCGGGGTGATGTAGACCCGTTGCCTTCCAACACACGCTAGAGGTAGGTCCATTCGCACGAGTGGGATCTCATAAACGCAGAGTGTGCTGACTGGGGGTACGCTTTTGCTGCCTTGGCAAGACAGTTGACGCCATCGACCCAATCCCTCACTCTCCTGCGGACGAAGGACGAGACTCCCTCTGGATCGCCAACGTAGCTACTCAGGAAGCGACCCGAGGTGGTGACTTGCACATTGAGATTGCCGAAGATTGTCTTGGCGGCCGCCACACGATGAGGCTTGACGATCACCATGGACTTCGAGGGCTCCGCGAAGTACCCAAGCGCTGGACCGTGCTCAAGGAGGGAGAGGAGTCACTCCTTGATCCGCACCAACCGTCTGAGGCATGGCGAGTCGTCTGCATACCAGTTCTGGATGTGGTGACTTGGATCCTTCAGACACTCGATCAGGGGCTGTTTGCCGATTGCATACATCAGCATGGCTAATGGGCAGCCTTGGGTTGTTCCTTCACGACTGAGGATGGTATGGGCGCCATTCTGACTGATGGAGTTGAACGTGTTTGCCGCATCCACCAGTAAGAGCCCTTCGGTCTCCTCCTGATTGAATAGTTCGGACATGGAGTGAACAGCAGCTTCAATACTGGCCTTGGCCCCAGAACATGGCTGGTCTGCACCGCAGGTCTCCTGCACATCATGGCCGGTCGCAAGGGCCATTGGCTTTGCCTCGATGCGCTGGCGACACTCGCCGATGCCGATAGGACGGACACCGGGTTGTTTGCCCAGCGTGATCCCGCGGCGTGCGAGAAAAGCTCTGATATCCGACCACGGCACGAGTTCATTGGCGTGCCTCTGAGTTGAAGCGGCAACTGCTTCTCGCAGACGAGTGCTGGCATTTCCGAAGCGCAGCAGGAATGTGCGCCAGTGGTCGGAATCAGTCCCACATGGTCCTGCACTGCCGAAGAGCTGTGTAGGAGCATGTTCTATGTGAGCTCCTGTGATGTCCACCCTCTCCAATGCCTGGAGATTGTCGCATTGGATGAACGCGTTCTGGTTGACTGGCTTTTGGGCGGGGTGTTTCCTCCAGTGCTTCAAGAACAGTCTTGCCAAGTGGTCTTGTCTTGCCCATAGCCTCGGAGTTGGGGTCCAGGGCCCCACCACCACTACGGTCGGTTATGAGTTGGACTGCAGCTTTCACTCGCCCTTCCAACATCAGCCGGTTGACCGTCTGCTGTACCTTCTCCTCGGTCATGGGGCTCAGCGCGGAGCGTGGGCGCTGATCGCAGCGCTCTGCTTTGCGCAGTAATTCACGCAGCTGGCCAGCTTCCCATCTATCCATATGGCGGGAAAGAAGCGGCCGGGTGTCTTTGGCTTTGCGAATCATCTTGCCTCTCCATCCTCATCGCAGATCACACAAGATATGTAATTTGCTGCGAAAAGACCACTTGATTTGAGGATGGTGTGTGTAGTGTTTTTCATGTAATGAGCTGGCTGCAGTGGAGCTTGTGCACAGTAAGAAAGTTTCAAACGTATATATATATAGAGAGAGAAAATTAGTTGTTTGTTGTCTGAGGATTGTGTGAGGATTGGCGGATGGTCATGAAACTCCGAGTTACAGCTTGATTCAGCCTACAATAGTCCCATTGCTAACTTGTGTTTCAGGCTCTGCCCTCGTGGCATTGAGCACTTTTGCAAGGGTTTAGCAACATACAGTGCTGCTCAATGAAATCCAGTCGCGTCACTCAAGTACACGCCGGGCGTTGCACAGCCATAGACCTGCGAACACTGGGCTGCGAAATGGTGCAAGGTGCAAACTTGAGTGACGCGGCTGGATTTCATTGAGCGGGACTGTAGCTTGTGAGAGAGAACATTATGTTTTATTACTAATATCAGATTCAGCTGCTACTTCCTTAGCCAGGAGCTATGCGTTTCCTACAGGCCCTGTGGAAGTTTCGCTTGGCGCTGGGCTTCAAACTTGTTGATGAAAATCACTGAGTTTATTGCCACAATAGCCGTAGCATGCACTGCACGGCAGTGTTCATCTGTGCAGCTCGGGTGTACTTAGCAGTGGTTAGTTGAAGAGAGAGAGAGAGAGAGAGAGAGCATTGCACGAGATTGCATTGCATGTTTTCTATGCGTTCTGCACCTCAGTCAGACGTGTGCGCGCCGAAGCCTGGCCTTGCCTGCAAGCACATCTCCATACTTGATCTTGTATCGTCGGCTTTGCCAGTGTGTAAAGTGTCAGTTCCGTGTATTCATGTGCACTATGCATAATACTATTGCTGCGACTTTCTTCTTGGTGCTGATGCATGTAACTGTTATGTGATTGCAGATCAAAGTGGGTCAGAAGGAAGATGCCAGGGATGGTACGTAGCTCTACGATGAGTTGAGATGCGACACAACGCACGTACAGTAACATTATCCATTCTTAAATCAACTTTCCGGGAAAGGCTAAGACTCAGATTTTTCATGTCTAATTTCGTTGTTGCAAGTGTTTCAGAAGGTTTGGGTGAAGTTAGCGACAATGATAATATTAGCAGAGTCATAGGAGATGTAACAACAATGAAAATAGGAATACTTATAATGTGCCGTGCTTCTTTCTTCTTCTGTCCCATGAGCTCTATTACTGTTTGCAGTACGGACATAGCCAGTCCCTCCTTGGCATTGGACATAGGTGTATTTGGTCTGAATTCATTGTTCAATGAGACGTGAACCGTTTCGACAAGTGGGAGCTTATGTTTTCCACCCACGTCTTTGGCTTCTAATATTGCTGCATGCCCCCTCTCCCCTACTGCAGTCATCAGCTGGTCCCTGTCCATGACTTCCACATATTAGTATGTGTGCTTGTCTGTAGTTACATTTGGTAACTGGCATCTCTCATGCCCTGTGTTATGTATTCGTCACCCTCTCTGTTTTTTATTTTATTTGTGTTCTATCATCCTTCTTGCCTGGTTTTCACTGCAGGTATCAATCGCACTGCTCTACGTGAAATCAAGCTGCTGCAGGAGCTCAAACATAGCAATGTGATCGGGGTAAGGAGAACGCATGGCGTGTCCAACTATTGTCCGGCACTGTGCGTGCATGCATGCACATGCGCTTGAGTGTATGTTGAAGTAGTTTAACACCTCGTTTTATGTGTGTGTGTGTTTGAGTGCGTACGTGCGTGCGTGTATCCCATATGGTGCACTGATGTGTATGTCCAGCGATTTCCAATCGAGAGGTTGCGGGTTCGATTCCTGACGATTATGGTCACACACGTCTTTCTTCTCTTTCTCAGACTCCTCCTGACTTTTGTTTCATTCTCCTGGGTGGTTACCAACAGCCAGTGCATGCCGGAGTATGTGGTGTGATGTGTGTGCAGGAATAAAAATGACAAAGACCAAAAAGTAGGGATTCACTGGCCAGAGAAAGCCACTTCATAGCTGTGTGGTGTAGACCAGGCTGAATAGTGGCGGTGAATTCTTCAGCCTTGCAAGCTGTTGAATAGTGCAATCTTAGCACCAGTTGCTATGGCTTCTGCTGTAGCATCGCTATCAACGCCTCTGGAGATGGGCGTCAAATGGTCAAATGGTGTGTGTTTGTGCATATGGGCGTGTGTGCGTGTGTGTGGTGTGTGTGTGTGTGTGTGTTTGCAGTTACTTGACGTATTTGGACAGCGCTCCAACATCAGCTTGGTCTTTGATTTCATGGACACTGATCTCGAAGTGAGTCCGAAGCAGCTACATTTGACATGTACAGCCAATTTACTTGTGCTTGGGTAAAACCCTTGCTTGAATGTTAGACTGATAACAGAGGCGTAGAAAGGGGTTTGGAAGTGCTAGTATGACCTAGGCTTGCAGCGGCTGAAGGCCGGCCGAGAAGGGGTCTGGGGACGTCCCCCGGGAACATTTTGTGAAAATGACACAAAATCCTATGTTCTGGGCACTTCTGGCAAATGTCTAAGTGCTCCGGGAGCTGGAGACTCAACACTGGACCTGAGGTGAATCGATTACCATTTTTAATACCCACTTACAATGTAGAACAATTCTTTTTGTTTCTTTTGGTGGCAAGGCATAGCGGGATGGTCTAAGACCATGATTGAGAAACAGAGGGTACTAGATACATAATCTTACACAGTTACATCGGGCATGCCGCGCTGATCTTGCCCGAGGTCAGGTGAGTGATCCTGCCCGAGGTGGCGACGCCCAAGGGACGTAGCCCCGAGGGCATCGCGACCGAGGGTAGGATCACTCACCTGACCGAGGGCAAGATCAGTGCGGCATGCCCGATGTAACCGTGTAGGATTGCGGTTCAGATAAGGCCCACATCACAAACAACGAGGTCGTGACCAGCATGGTTTTATTTTTAGTTTCGTGAAGGCCAGTACGAGAGAGTACAGAAAAGTAGAGTTTTATTTTAGAGTTAGGTTCAAGTTGAAAACTGCTCCCGAGAAGTTGTTTCCGGAACCAAAGTTGAGCTGAGCATTACGCTGTTTAGTGGTGGCTGAAGGCGTTGGTGGCGCTTCTAGAGCCAGGAGCTCGGACGGTGACAGGCCACCCTGAAGCTCATCCACATCTACGTGGCCATCGTCAAAGGACGCTTGAGGTGGTTGCTGGCCTGAAAACGCAACAGCAGAGGTGGGAACACCTGTGGTTGCAACCTGGGAGCAGATTGGAGCAGCAGCAGGCGATGGAGATGGAACAGAAGCTTGTGGAGGCAGGTCTCCTAGCAAATCCAGCACATCTCTGCCGAACTGCGAGCTTGGGACCAGAGCAGTACTTGTTGAAGGCTGTTGGCCTGCATCGCCATCTAACAGTGCTGCCATGTGGCGCTCCTGCTCCTCTGTTGGCCGACAGTAGCTCGTCAGTGATTGCGCATTCTTGTGGCCCGTTATGGCCATGATGTGGCGCTCTGGCACACTCTCCGCGTTCAGGCGAGACGCAGTGAATGCCCTGAGGCAGTGATTCGTGTACGTTTTTAACGTACCAGCATCCGCACAGATGGACTTCATAATATCGCCCAACGTGTTCTTTCCCATCAGCGCCCTCGTAAAGCAGAATTCTTCCCGAGATGAGTAGTTAGACTTGGGTCTCTGGAAAAGCCGGTCACAGTCACACAGTCCGGGTGCAACTTGCTCAGCAGGCGTTGCACTGATAACACTTGTGTATCCTTCTGGATACGTCCAGCAGGTGTGGCAATGGTGTCCAGCTGGTGGTTTTTCTGGGCAAAATCAGTTGCCAACTGGATGTACTCCTGTCCGTTGCTGTCTTTCAGGATCAACAAATCCTGCTTTCTCATGTTACACTGCAGCTCACGTCCACGGATACCGAAATGCATTGTGACATAGGACCATACTTGTTGTATTAGGCACTTGGCATCCTTCTTTGTATCGAAGAGGTAGGTGATCTTGTACATGTCGGTGTCGGTTATAATATCTTTGTGTGCAATCGGATTCATGCCACCTTCTCTCTTCAGTTTCTTTATCATTCCATCAAAGGTGTCATTGGATCTGCGAAATTCCATGCCGTTGAAAATGTCGAACTTCCTGCCAAGGTCATTCAAATGGCGTTGAATTGCCGCAGGGAAACCTTTGTACGAACTGTACTGGTAGTTCTCTCCTTTTTGGGTGCGCATCCCAACGTAGCACAGACAAAGTAAATGGCACAGATCGTCCTTCGTCCACGTTTTCAGATCGAGCACCATATTTGCCTTCTTCATGAAAGTATCGAGTACGGCCACCCAGTTTTTCGTAGAGTCCTTCGTACTTTTCGGCGTACGCTCCGCGATGATCCTCTCCACATCGGCATCTGTGACCGTAGCAACACGTTTTGGTGCTGGCTCTGCCATATTTGGATAAACAAGGGAAACTTTGGATAAACTCTTGCAGACTCGACAAGATACGGACTGAGAAAAAAGGTAAGTACGCATGCGCGCCGCGGTGCTGTATCGCTGCTGTTCCTGCCCGGGTATGACACTCGTCATTCGCGGTACTGCGGTTGTGCTCCACTTTTTTTATGACGTTTTACCTGCCTACCCGCGCGAAATCAAAAAAATCCTCGTCATCTGGCCTCCGCAACGCATTAAAATTTGAATTTTAAAATTCTCGCGTACAAAACAATGCAAGATACGGGAAACAGGTCGAGCCGCGACCACGGCTCGCAGTTTTTGATCAAGAATCGTAGCGAAAGCTCGCGGTGAGCCGCGGCCTCACTGCTCCAGCTCGAGCCGCTGTCACTATGGTAATGATGGCGTTTCAAGCCGCGGATGACGAGCAGCGGAGCCGCAGTGGAACCCGGCCCTTAGGAGCTGCATCTGCGCCTTGATCCAAGAGGGTGGTGGCATTCCTGTGGATGCGGAAAACTAGCCGAGTCTCACGCGAGCCGTGAAATTTTTTTCTTCTTCTTTTTTTGGTGGCAAGGTGACCTTTCTGTATTGCTGTAAGTTTGACACAACGTTACAATGCTTTCGAATTCGTTTAATATCTCTATTTTACAGCGATGAGTTTATGGCTGCATGCATGGTATACTCGGTATCAAGAGTATATAAGCCCCCAAGAGTGTGCAACTCCTGATACCCTTTCTATGGGATTCACCGACAGCGAAAACTGCCATACCGTGGCGTAGTGTCCCAGTTGTACGTTTCCAGCCCGTTTTTAGCGAGCAGTTGAGTCATAAAGACTCATAATAAAAGCGCTCCTTGGCAGAAAATCCCTGCGCGTATGCAACTCGCCAGCATACTCATGGCAGAATTTTCGGATTGCGCCACGCTATCCCTAGTTGTACGTAGTACAAAACGTACCTGAGACACGTGATGTGAGTTTTCCCCGTCGTAGACCCCATAATTATGCAGAGTTGCTCACTCTTGGGGGCTTATATGAAGGGCTCGAATTCAAAACGCGATTAAGACCGAACCGGAGCTTTTGCATTTTTTGTCACGAAATAATTCGTTTTCACCCCACGGACGTCTGTGTGTCGGTTTTACAGGTCAAAACTCAAAACGTGATACATCCCAGTCAAAATGATGCCTGAAGTTTGTGTTCTTCTGCAAAACGCGATAAAAGTCACTGATGCTGCAGTGCAGACCGAAAAGAAAACAATGAAAAAATGCACCTCCTGAAATTTCCACAAAATGGATTTATCTCGTTTTGAATTAGAGCCCTTCATATACTCTTGCCGGTATGGTACACATGGTGCACAGTGCACAAGCGTCATCCCACATTACTTGTAGATGACTCATCTTATCTGGCGGTAGATTCCGTACGACATGTACACGCGAGAGTTTCCAGCCAGAATGATGACAGAATCCATGGTTAGGGCCACGGAATTGCTGTAAAGCAGAACTTCAAAATTAATATTCATCCTGGCTTGTTTTTCAATTTTTGAAGTGTTAACATACACAACATATTTTACTCGTTTTAAGTCGACCTTGTAAATTATGGCCTAAAATTGAGCCAAAACGAAGTAAAAAAAGGGGTAGTAAATTTACAACCGGGGTTTAACCGCCATTGAGCAGGGAAATCGAGCCCCCAAGTATAAGGTCGACTTACAACTGGTAAAATAAAGTACGCAACATTCAACACACCATATCTCTATTAAATTCGGGGTATACGACTACTCTTTCATTCGAGCCATACTCGTGAAATCTGCCAGTGTCTTATTTGCTGTGTGTGTATATGTCACTATGTGTATGTTTTGTGGTAGGTAATCATTCGTGATTTGAGCATCATGCTGACCATTGGTCATATCAAAAGTTATCTGATCATGACCTTGAAAGGACTGGAGTACTTGCATCAGAACTGGGTCCTGCATAGAGTGAGTGCTGGGCTGTGCTGTGCTGGGCTGGGCTATGCGTGTGTGTGTGTGTGAGCAGGAGAGAGAGAGAGAGAGAGAGAGAGAGAGAGTGTGTGTGTGTGTGTGTGTGTGTGTGTGTGTGTGTGTGTGTGTGTGTGTGTGTGTGTGTGTGTGTGTGTAGCACGCGATGCTCAGCGACACGCGGACCCACATTTTCAGACTGATGGAACGATTTGCGTGGCAGCTCACCCCCATGTTAGGCCAGAGCATGATTGAAATCCACAATGTTAGGTTTTTTAAAGTGACGTTCTTCATGAATGACTTCTGGACCAACTTAGGATTAACTTCTCATGCGTTTCAACTGTACCTGACTGTATACCTTAACCAATAGAATCCTCCCACCATACGAATAATTCTCAATTTGTCCACACACAAAGAGCCATAATAATGTATTTTTTCCCAGGTGGCTGGTTGTACCACCGATGGAGGCTTAGACATGTCCTTTCATAACAAAGCTGTATCTTAAAATCTGATGTGATGAGGGTACATGTACATGTACATTATCTGCATACTTCCAAGTACATGGTGTGCACTGGATCCTTGAAAGCCTTGAACGTGCTTGAATCATACTTCAGTGGTAGGTGCGTGAAGCTGTGCCAGCATTTCATCAGTCTTTTCTTGTTTGCTGTGATACAGGATATGAAGCCGAACAACTTGCTTCTGAACAGTAACGGCGTGCTGAAAATCACTGATTTCGGTCTTGCCAAGGCCTATGGCAGTCCGAATCGTGTCTACACGCATCACGTTGTGACTAGGTGAGGCCGAGACGGTAGTGCAACATGAAACAAGTGCTCCAACTTTGATGGTTTTTGCTTTGTACCTGCAAGGCACAGTGCTACTATGTGTTGATCGGCTAGTCCTTGTGTGAACTCGTTCTCTACTCTCCTCTGCTCTGCTCTGCTCTACTCTGCTCTACTCTGCTCTTGATCTGGTTTGCCCATACACTTGATATTGGGGCTTAAGCGGTCACAACTTTTGCATGACCAGGTATCCTCTAAAGTAACGGTCAGATAACTGGCTATTCAACTTCAGCACATAATATATACACGAACATGAAACACACACCATTTTTATTAAACACGATTGAGACCTATACATTGACATCAAAAACAGGCTTCCTCAACTTCAAGCTGAATTGTGGTGATGAAGACGGTTTCTTCTTCAGTGCCGAGCCGAAATTCTACAATTTACTCCCCGCTGGATCTACGTCTGTGTTTACATGAGGCGTTTAAACCCGGGTTGAGTTCGACCCGAGTCAGATTTCAACCCGCCATGTACACAAAATGAATGGCGTGTTTACATGACGCATTGCGCTTGACCCGGGTTGAAATTTCGCCCCGGTTTGATTTCAACCCTCCCCTTGGCTTGGGGGGAGAGTTGAAATCAAACCGGGTCGAAGAAATCGTACTAACGTACTTCTGTGCGTATCTCGCGCCAGGTTTGAACAGCACTGTACAGGCAAATTTCGCGCGAAAGGATTCACGTGACCATACAGGACTCTAGAAGTAGACTTTGGCGGCATATCAGTATTTGACCCGGATCAACTGTCTTCATGTAAACGCCCACCTATTTTGTCTATCGTACAGACTTTCAACCCGGGCTGAACTCAACCCGGGTTGAGTTCAGCCCGGGTTGAAATTTCTCATGTAAACACAGCCATACAATATGTAGCCGCCACTAAACCCTTCTCCAAGTCAAAAGCTCGCGCCAATGAAGGGTGTCTTCATTGTAGACACGTGCCAATGGGTAAGAGTTTCCTGCTATCCTGCACACGGTGTTAAGATCAACGCTGTACACCATGTACTGCTACACTATACATGTGCATGAAAAAACCGTTTGAAACCGCAAACGAAACGGTTTCATAACCATTCAAAAAATTCTAGCGGTCGGATAACCGATAATCCGGTATAACCGTTTAAGCTCTACTTGATATACTATAATAGCATTATGAATTTGACAGCTTCTCCCCGAGCACTCTACATCGTGTTGGTTGCGGTGCTAGAGCATGCTCTTGTGTTGTTTGCTTTCTGCGACCTGCCCAGGTGGTACAGAGCTCCGGAACTGCTGTTTGGAGCGCGCCTGTATGGCACAGGCATTGATATGTGGGCGGTTGGGTGCATATTTGCCGAGCTCATGCAGCGGGTAAGTCGCAGCGGAGCATCATTGGCAGTCCAGTACAATTTTTTGAAGTCTTGAGTTTGGATGGTTCTGTTTCTTTTTGACTTCAATACCACACTCCTGTAGAACCCCTTCCTTGTCGGTGAATCGGACATAGACCAGCTGACAAAGATCTTTGAAGTTCTAGGAACCCCTACCGATGAATCATGGCCTGTAAGTAATGTTGCATCTCTTTGCGAAGTTCTGTCCGGTGCTGTGTACTGCTGATATCGAGAGTCCCAAAACAAGAGTATGCAGCCGTGATTTCTTTTCTATGGGCCAGATGCGCGGCGCGCTACCTTCGTTACATCATTAAGCTGCAGTCCGCGCACTGCGGAAAATCGAGCACCACACTTTCCCTCAGGTTTGAAAAAAACTTTTGCACGGAACTGGATTTCACACGCCCACAATGTAGAGGTCGCGTGGGTACTCGAACGAATTGAGCAAAAACGGTAGAGCTGGTACAAGAGATTGTTGAATTTGAGTGCATGCGCTCAGGGCGTGATGGAGGCAAGTTAGTTACGTAATGAAGGCAGCGCACCGCTCACGGACTCATAACCACAGTTGCATACTCTTGTCTGTGAACTCTTGCTGATATGCAACGCGTATTTTGCTTCATCTCTCGATTTTGAAGACTTCCTTTGTGTTGAGTCTAACCATTTTTGTTACACCAAGTACTTTTTTTGTTACACATTTTGTACTTTTTCACCTGAGGCAAGTTTCATGTTTACGAGTATCTTCTCGTATTTGGCATCATTGGTGTTGGTTGTAAAGCATGCTGACATGTGTTTAGGGAACTTATAGTACCGTAAAGTACCGCGAGAGCGCCCCACCATCTCGTCCCTTCACATCCCAGTGTTCACAAGGGCTGAATAGTACCGGCGCATTCTTGGCGCATGCGATCAGATGTCATTGAACAGCACTGCTGCGCAGTCGGTACTAGTGATACAGTTGGTAAGCCTTGTTTGATAGGCTCTGCCAACCGATGATGGTTGTATTCAGGAGCACTGTTTTCAACACGGTGCGTCCTCCGCCTTGCAACATGCTGTCAATCGATCACCATAGTGATACGTTTGTGTGTGTGTGTGTGGAGATTGCTTGCTGTCTTGCAGTGACACTGAGAGTCATTTGGTGGTCGATTCACATGGCTTGTGTTGGATTGGGCAGTTATCTGGCGCTAGTCCGCTATCGTGCTATAAGAGAAAATCTGTACGTGCACATCCAGTGCATTTTTCAGATTTGAGTGCTTCTCTTGCGACGAGCATACATGTACATACATGGTATATGAGAGTCGTTTAAAAATAGAATAACCGCGGAAATTATCTGCTTGTTCATGTCGATAGCCATTCTTCCCTATCTGTTCTGCCACTTGAATAAGTACCCACGTTGCCTCTGTTTTCTAAGGGATTGTCTGCCCTACCCGACTACGTACCATTCAAGGCACAGGTGCCTATTCCGCTAGCTCAGATCTTCACGGCAGCAGACGCTGAAGCTCTGAGCATGCTTAGCTCCATGCTGTGTCTCAATCCGGTCAAGCGCTGCACATGTTCTGAGGTAAGCGGTGAATTTGAGCTATGCCAGCAGCTGCGGGCTGCCACCGCTCAGCTACCGACAGCTGCCGCTGCTGACTTTGCATATGTTTTGTTTCTGATACAACTGCAATGGACATGGTACATAGAGTCTAAGACATTCTAACATGAAGCATACACGCGCACGTCTCTCTCTCTCTCTATTTACCTACATCATACACCGTGCATGTGCCTGCTTGTCTGTCGGAGTGCTCAAGAGTCGATATCCTATTGCCCCTGTCACAACCTCTCACTGCTCTTTCTGTTTTCAACGTCCTGCTCTGCACGTCTTGCTGGCGTCTTTCAGGCTCTGAAGATGCCGTTCTTTTCCAGCCGACCGTACCCGACAAAGGGCCCGCTGCTGCCCCTGCCTAGCGGCAGTGCAGTGAAGAATGAAGAAGAGCTGGTGTCCAGGGGTGTCAAGCGGAAACGGGATGAAGAAACTGACGGTGAGCACTGTCCCAGTGTTGTGTAACTATACAGTGTGTTGCAAAAACCTCGTGTACGGGCAAAAAGAATTGTGCATATCCTCACACAAACTCACGTACGGGTGCAGGTAACTATAAAAATCAATTTAATACTAGTAAATCAATTGGAACACAAAGAGAGAACTATTACCGTACTTCCGCACATATAAGCGCATGTGCTTATGTCCGGATATAAGCGCACCCCTCAATTATAAGCGCATGTGCTGATATGTGAACACTATTGGTGAAAGGGCGGGAGCGAAATATACCACTAAGTAGTATGATGACACCATTGTTTAGGACACAGACAAACCTGTATTGCGCATATAAGCGCATGGGCTTCTACCCGAACATGTTTACACAGCCAAAGATCTTTTTTGCAGCAAATTTTCGCTTATAAGCGCATGCACTTATATGTGGGGAAGTACGGTACTTCGAAGTATGTGAAAGAGCCAACAAAAGCATTACCGTACTGGCAAAGAACGGCAGCTACAGTCAACTTCGCGTATATCGACACTCGGCGGGGCATCAGAAAAGTGTCCTTATTCGCGAAGTGTCGTTATACCCGAAGTCCCATTCTATGTATTACAGTTGGATGGGACTTTGCCCTGGGCATGGAAAATCTGTCGTTATTCGCGAATTGTCGTTATATCCGCAGTCGTTATTAGCGAAGTTGACTGTATATACGAAGGCCCTACTCCTGCGCCTGTATGATACCTGCATGATGTATGATACCTGCATGATGTATGATACCTGCAAGATGTATGATGCACGTTACTATACAGTGTAGTAGCTACTGAAAATAAACACTTTTTGGTGAAGTAAATTCCGTAAAGCACTTTCTGTTTCCAATGTTTGCTCCTTACTAAATCAATGGACAGAGATAGCAACGTAGCTGTCCTGAGTTAGTTTTATCAAAGTGTTCTGCTGATGAACTGGAGGGTTTCAAACTGTCCAAGGTTGCATGGTTACGAAAATTAGTTGATTCCCAGTACGTGTACTGCGTGTGGGGTGAAACATCTCTTCAGTGACCACCCACCCCGTATACTGCACGGTGACACTTCGCCTTTAACGCAGGTGATACTGATCACAGTGATCACATGACAGGTGCTGCTGATCACTGATCACATGACAGGTGCTGCTGATCAGTAGAGAGGTTAAGATTCACGTTATTTCCGACGTGACCCTCAATTTCACGTCAAATTTGGCGTAAAATTCCAAATTTCGACGTGAGCTGCAGGTCACTCGCGTTGTTTTTTGACGCGCGAGCCAAGTAACGCGAGCTGAACGTTCACGTCCACGTCAGAAATAACGTGCATCTTAACCTCTCTAATGATTGTGATAAACCTATTGACCCAGATGGTGAGCCAAGGAAAATATTAAATGGAATCAAGGCTAACGCATAACTTGTGCCCGCATAACGTGTAACGCATAACTTGTGCCCGCATAACGTGTAACGCATAACTTGTGCCCGCATAACGTGTAACGCATAACTTGTGCCCGCATAACGTGTAACGCATAACTTGTGCCCGCATAACGTGTAACGCATAACTTGTGCCCGCATAACGTGTAACGCATAACTTGTGCCCCACCGTTTTCCTTGTTTCCATTTAGTAAACCTACTGAGTTTATTGTTACAAACAATTCTCCGTGTCCAGAGACAAGGTGTCAAAACCTTGTCACCAAAGACAACCACGAGGAAAGGAGCATGCCAGAGCAGTGCTCATGCCTGCGTCCATAGAAGTCAGTGGGAAGTGCAAATAAGCCGGGGTGCACATGAGGGCACAGAGTGTACGTAAATAACATTATACTATCACGACACTAATTATAACAGTGATCACGTCACAGGTGCTGGAAGCGAGGCGCAATGCATCCTTGTGAACGGCGGGGCAGGCTGTGAAATGTGCAAGCTTGCATTTTTGGTGAACGAGTGCAGTAACCTTTCTATTGTGCAACACGTAGAAAAGGTTTCAACTGCCACTACCAGTTGAGGCAAGGATTTTGACATCCGAGCCATTTCTTCTTCACTTTTTTTTGTTCCCCGTAGGCTTTGTAAAAAAGAAACTGTCGTTTGGTGGAATGTAATGGCAGTCAACTGCAAGGCAGCCGTGTATGCACTCACAGCATACAAGTACCAGTGTGAGGACATCTATTTCTTGTCTTCGCGCTGTCATGCTATTCACATCCCGCTTGTATACGAACGCCAAAATAGGTACATGTATTTATGAAACATGAAAATTTGTAAGAAAACAGCATGCATCGCTCGCCATGAAACACGCTGCCAAACTGGGTTATCATGAATCCATGTTTGCACACCATAATTCGCTGTCATAGCTATCGATTCTCTGGCAAAAGTTCAGGAAAAGTCTTGTCATTGAAAAATTAATCAATATCTTACTTGAGAATAGAAATAATTATGGTTTTTAAAAACGAGAAGGAAGACTTCCCGTGATTATTTGTTCTGTTCTGTCCTAGCCTATCTTGCCAGCATCTGTCAGGATTAATTATTGACTTGTGTCTTGTTAGTGGAGAGCAAATCCTGATTTATCACCTCTTCTTTTTTAAACTTGCAAGTGGCTTTTCTTTTTCTTTTTACTCGAGTATTTTTGATTTTGCTGAGCACCGCTGTGATCTTATCCGTTCAATCTGGCAGTAATTCTGTACATGTACCATCCTGTATGAGGAATTGGGGATGTATTCCAAGGCAAAGCTCTGACAGTGACACGTACCATAAAGCACCATTGATCCTCACCCTTGTTGCTTCCCGGCTGGTTTTTCAGCATCGGGGCTGCAATTAGATCAGTCTTGCCTTGCTGGGTCGTGCACATTTTCATACCTGTATTGGCACAAGTTGTGTACAGCAGTGAATGCGGCGTCGGTTCGACACCTTGCTTTGACGTACACGCTGAATTCGCCTCACCGGTACAGCCTACAGGTAGAAATTCGACGGATGAGGCAGAGATTAGAGACGGGGTGGATCAACGGTACTGTACGGTAAATGGACCAGGACGGCCAAGTCAGTTACCTTACCCACACATAACACGCTACACTTACTGGGGTAACCATAATAGACATCACGCTATTGTGATACTTACTGGGGTAACCATATATTATAGACATCACGCTATTGTGATACTTACTGGGGTAACCATATATAGACATCACGCTATTGTGATAGAAGCAGACAGTAGATGCACTGGTACCTGGACATGAATATTGGAGTTACTTGTACTTTAGCAAGCAGCCTTGGCTACTGACTACTGGAAACCCGGAGCCAATAGAAATGGCGTTACTAACAACCTCAGCCATGAAAAAGCTATAATCTACACCAAGAGTACATAGACCAGAGTGTGCAACTCGGGATGGTTCCTGTGGGAGCGTTATCCGTGCAGTACGTCATTTCTGACGGCATGGTAAGCCACAGGTACAGTGAAAGGTTGCGTAGCCAGTCACGGTGGTGCAGGTCACTGAGTTTGTCCTGATTTCGGTTTTTTGATACGGATAGCCTGGTGAATTTACTTGTCGGTGGATGTACACAGTCACACAAAAACACCGAAATCCTGAAACGGGACGTCTAAAATCAAGCAAACTTGGCTGATTTCCGGGCTATGAAGCATGAAAATTTGGGGCTGTACGCAAGTCGCGGCTTGGCTGACCTCATCAGGGTGACGTAGTGCACGAACTGCGCTGTTTCAGATCTGATATGCACAGTTGCACACTCCACTGGTTTATGTATGATATGCACAGTTGCACACTCCACTGGTTTATGCGCTCTTGTTCATACTTGTAGTGATGACACACGGGATTGTGCAGTCGAAACTAGTCCAACTTCCAAATGCTTGCCAAGAAGATAGCCTTTTAACACGCGCACGCGCTCACACACACATACACACACGCGCGCGCGCGCACACACACACACACACACACGACGGTGACGTGCGCACACAGACACTTAACACACACACACACACACACACACACACACACACACACACACACACACACACACACACACACACACACACCTCAGTCTCAGACCTCAGACCTGCCCATCGCAGAAGCAGCTATGTTAGACATAGCAACTAGTTCTTTTACGAGAAACCACGAACCTCGAGAACAGAATACTGCATGATAGAGGTGGTTGCAGACGCAACTGTGGTGGTGAAACTGGAGCATTTCCGCCGACCTGAGGTCTCGGCTTCAGCGACACTTCAGTGCACCAGTGCTGGGATCGCACCATTCAACAGCTTGCAAGGCTGATGAATTGACCACCACTAATTTTAGCCTGATATCCACCACACAGCTGATTGAAGTGCCTTTTTCTGGCCAGTGAATCCCTATTTTTCATTTTTCATTTTTTCATTCTTTTTCTTTTTCGACACACACCCACACAACTACTACGACATGTGATTGAAACGAGTAAGTCTTTGCAAGAGAACTTCGAAGCCCAATTGTCACGATTGCGGGAAGAGATGGGGGAGCTCAAAAGTCAGCAAGTGCGAGCCCCGGGAGTGCCACTAGCCACTCGGTACCGGCAACCGAATACGTACGCTGCCACCGGCCTTTCACGCGCATCTACTACAGTGTACAGAGCCCGTTGTACAAGTTTTTTTGAAGTTTTTTTTAACCGTGATAACCCCATGGGGTTATTTTTTTGTACAAGTAGGTCCAAAGCGTGGTCGTCCGAAGATTTCCTTTTTCTGACAATATCGTTTCGTGGACTGGTATGTCCTGCATGAGAATTGCCAGTTGGCATCTGACAGAGATGCCTGGCAGGTACACACCCATTCTTTCCTGCTAGACACTCCCTTCCCACTCACCAGCATTCTGGACCACCCCAGCTCACACTCCTATCAACAAACTGTAGTTCTGTAGTGAATAAGTGTACAGAGCTTACTATAGTTGCTGAAGAGTGGCAGCCTGACATAATCTGCCTAACTGAAACCTGGCTCGACCTGAATATTGCACTTAATATTACGCATTTTGACACCTTCCGGAGGGACAGGCCCCCTGCAGAGAATAAGTCCGGGACAAGTGCAAGAGGTTACGGTAGTGTCGCTATCCTTGTTCGACAGAATAAGTTTAAGTCTGTTGCCGCACGTCCCGACCTAGCTCGCGATGGGTGCGGAGCCTTTTGGGTTCAACTCCAGCCGTATCCGGCTGCAGCTGAGCCGATCCTCCTCTGCTGCAGTTATCGTCCACCTTCTGCTAAGGCAACAGAAATCGCAAGGCACTGCCAGACTCTCGAAAACGTACTCATTACTCTTCCTCTTTCATCTTCTCACGTTATCTTGACGGGTGATTTTAACAGCAAACACACTTCATGCTGTTCGACAGATTCCACCAACACTGCCGGTGCCGAATTGTATCGCAAGCTCAGTTCATTTGGTCTTCACCAACTCGTCAACACATGTACAAACACGTCACCCTCTGGTGTCCAAGCCTGCTTGGATTTGGTGTTTAGTAACCGTGCCAATCTCTCGTCTTGCGTCGAAACTGACTGCCCTCTGGGTGCCTCAGACCATGCCATTGTGTACTGCCAGCTCGACATCCCACTGCCTCAGTCTCCCCGCGAAACAACGTCTCAAGCTCAGGAACCTAACCCTATGTCTTTCGATCTCCGACACGTTACATCTGCTGTGTGGGAGGCGGTCAATGCAGACTTAGACTCAGTACCTTGAAACTCATTAATATCCTCAGACATGGACAGTGCACTTAGTAACCTGCACTGTATCCTGCAGACTGTGCTGTCCAAGTATGTTCCCCTTCATAGCTCCCGCAAACCAAATCGAACTCCCTCGACCCCAGGGTCCACACGCAAAATTAATAGCATCCGTGGGCTTCCACTGAACTACGCAAGGCTATCAAGTTGAAGCGTGACCTATTCAGCCTCTCCAAGAAATTTCCTACGGACTACAACCTATCAGCATATAAGGCACAGCGGAACAAGGAGAGACATCCCTCCCGCTGGTGCCACCACCAGTACATTCGTTCAATCAAAACAACACTTACCTCAGGCAGCACTACGCTTCACCAGTTCCTCCGCAGCCAGCGATCGCACAAAGTAAAACCTGGCATCCCTGATATTGCAAGCCCTGATGGGCTGCTGGTGTCTGACCGCTTCCAAAAAGCGACCATCCTCAACAAGCAGTTTACCTCTGTCGCGGTGCCTGATGACCCACGTTTAGTAATACCCCCTCTCCAATATGACACTCGTCTTACTCGCCAATTCACCCGCGTTCATACCACTACAGCAGATGTTCGTAAAGCAATCTCAAACCTGAAATCCGAGAAAGCGCCAGGGCTAGACGGTATCACGAACAATATGATAAAGAAGGTAGCTCCTGCGATTTCTTTTCCACTTAGCCGCCTATTGAACCTCTCCTTTACCACAGGCAAGTTCCCTACTGACTGGAAACTGGCTAAAATTGTGCCTATTTACAAGTGCAAAGGCAGCAAGTCCCAAGCTAGTAACTATCGCCCAATTTCCCTCCTGTCCTGTGTTTCCACACTTTGCGAACGGCTCTTCTTATTATATAATCATATTTCTCCTGCTCTGGATCCCGTGCAATCTGGGTTTCGTCGTGGCGACTCGACCGCTCTACAGCTTACCAAGCTGATCCAAGACATTGCCGACCATCGTCATATGGGGCGGAAAGTTGCCATGTGCTTTTTCGACCTCAAGAAAGCTTTTGACACCGTGTGGCACCGTGTATTACTTGCTAAACTTTCCAAAGTTTTCGGTGTGTGTGGCGCAGCACTGGAGTGGACAGACTACCTATCCGGCAGAACGCAAGTTGTCTTTGTAGGTGGACTTCTCTCAGATGCTTCACCTGTTCTGTCCGGAGTGCCCCAGGGATTCATCCTAGGGCCTCTCCTTTTCCTAGTGTATATTAATGATCTTCCCAGTCATGTTGAAGGTGTGTCCTTATTTGCTGACAATACTGCACTGCTCCGGTTCAATGAGAGTCTAGGCAGGCTGCGAGACGGTCTCCAGCGCGGTATCAACGAAGTCCATCAGTGGATGACTACCTGGAGGCTAAGACCTAATATCGCCAAGACTGAGATATTATTCCTGCCGAACTCAGAGCCAGCCCTTGCATTCACTCTTCCCGGATCCCTCACAGACCTCAAAGACAAGTGGCAAAGCAACACAAGCATCTTGGTTTGGTCATTGACTCAGACTTATCGTTTAGTAGGCATGTCGACTATATCTGTAGCAAAGTCAGTAAAGCTGTTGGCTACCTCGTGTCTCACTGCTCCCACCTACCGCATGAATGCATTCGCCTTTTTATCATTGCTGTAGACTATTCTCCCCATTTTTCTCTATTGCGCAACCGCCTGGTCATCTCCACTAAGTAAATCGTTAATGAGTACCCTGGAAGTCCATAATAAGAGGATACTGAAAGTCCTTTTCCACAAACCATCATACTTTCCTTCTGCCGAGCTGTATGATATGTTTAATACCTTCCCCATCTCTAGTCAAGCGGATCGAAACTGTGTATTGTTCGTTCTATTCGTCTTGACAAAGCCCCGCCACACTTGCGTAAATATAACTGGTTTCTTCCCAGTCGTCTTACACGCAATCCCTGCACTTTGCCTAAAGCCCGAACATCAGCTTATACCAGATATACCAGCGGCAATGACACACACGACGGTAGGTTGTTGCGCCTTTATCTGCGTACCTGGCTTTGCGGCCTGCCGTTCACAATGAGCACACTTCTGCTCTCAGGCCTTAATTTCCT